GTAAAAAAACTAGGGAAACTACGATTATATATAGAAACTAAAGTAGGTGAAATTTTTATGGGACTCCATAAAAGGTGAGGATATAAGAGTGAGGGATTGAAATTGAGTAGGAAAGGCAACCCTACACGCGTTTCGACCTAACAGTCTTCTTCAGCAGGGTTTTTTAAAGGGGAAATATAGAATTTGCAGAGGAGAAGAAAGGAGAGTTTAGGAGTTCGGAAAATAATGTGAACTTGGATCCCCTACGTAGCAAAATCCACACCAGAACTAGCTATAGCTACAGTATCTATTGGTCATATCGTATCATTCATTTACTAATCTCTGTTTTGGTTTTGTTATATATGTACATGTTTTAGTTATTATTGTATATTCATATATTTTAAACAAAAATCAAACCCTGCACGGTGTTATCATTATTTTTATCCCTTATGTATCACTAATTGCCAAACGCCCTTATCCCTGTCTTATAAGCTCCTACACCACTAACACCATATTTGGATGCAATCACCTACAGTCACATGATCACCCTTACCATCACAATCATTCAAACTCACTATACCATTGAGTAAGTTAACCTGCAAATTTGCTTCACTTCACCAATACGAACGATGAACAATAAAGTGCGTAGTGTTGGAATGTCCCGCAAACAACAAGACCTTTGGTAGGATAACTTGACTAATAACATGTATAATAGTTACATCCTTTCACTGTGTAATTGGTTATTTTCAGTTATTTCATAATAATTTGTTTTCCTCTTGGTCTCACATTATTTTCCGAACTCCTATGAACTCCTTCTCCTCTTCAAATTATATCTACACCCCCTTCCTCTTAAAAAACCCTGCAGGCTGAAGAAAACTGTTAGGTCGAAACGCATACCCCTGTACGCTATTCCTACTCAATTTCAATCTCTCGCTCTTATATCCTCGCCTTTGGTCGTGTCCCATAAAAATTTCACCTATTTTGGTTTCTACGGCCGTGATTTAATCGTAGTGTTCCTAGTTTTTTACGTACATGTTCATCATAGGAGTCGGAGTAAAGAAATAAAGAACAACCATTTTTGGAATTATACTGGTCCTCCCATTATTTAGGCTACAGGGCCGTAGGAAGCTCTTTTTTATTGGGGGGGGGGGCTGAAAGCGAGGGCCGAAGGCCCGAGGAAATTTTTAAATTTTAGAGTCTCTGAAATGCCATTTCCTGGACCCTGCAGCCCCCGGTTGCTACATACGGCCCTGGGCTACACGCGGAAATGCACCGAATGGCAAATAAGGATTACCACCCGAAAGTCTTGCTCGATATTTTTTTTCGTCCGTTTATTCTTGCACGATATTTTTTTTAAGTTCGAATTGCTTGCCCGATATTTTTTGGGGGATTCTACCCACCCCCCCCATCAAAAATCAAATGGTCCGTCCCTAAAGTCGATTTTTTAAGCTACAAAGTTTGCCATCTATGACCTTTGTTTGTCCCATCTCACGGCGCGGTCAAATTGATGGCGTGACGTCACTGGTTGTACTCGCGCGTTCGAATCAAAGGTGAATTTGTCAATTTGTTATGGCCGAGACTCAAAACAGCCGAGCGAAAGGGAAATCTGTTGGAAAGTATTGTGTTGCAGGCGGACCTGGAAAAGTCAGTTGCAAAAACAATTCGAAAACAGAAGGAATTTCGATGCATCGCTTCCCTAGGCGATAGTTCTGTCCGAGCAAAATGGGCTTGTATTGTCGAAAGACATCGTCCGCAATGGCAGCCATCAAGCACTTCGGTGCATTGCTCAGCACGTTTCAAGGTCACAGATTTTGAACAACGGCTTGATTTTAATCCACAAGAACCGGAAAAATTCACGACTAAGAGATGGCTGAAGAAAGGCGCGATACCTAGTCTAGATTGCGTTGTTTCAGGGCCACAAGTTCAGGCGATTTCAGCTCGTGAAAGAAGACAGATAAATATATGCATAAATTGGCATATTGCATTTAAAATCCGTACACCCCCTGTTGAGGACACACTGTTCGAATATCTGCCCCCCTGGAATTCCATGTCATTTCTTCTCTTAGGCCCTGGAATTCCACAAGTTTTTAATAAATTACCCTTGGAAATCTGCTATGTTTTACATTCCCCTGGATTTCCTTGCTATGTTTTGTCTTACCCCCTGGAATTCCAAGCATTTTAAATCAATTACTCTTGGAAATGTGCCATTTTTTCATCCCTCCCTGGAATTTCCAGCGTAAATAAGTGACTTTTGAACACCTCCCCCTGGAATTTCTAGCAAAAATAAGCAAGTTTTGACTCTCACCCCCTGGAATTTCCAGAGAAAATAAGAGTTTTGACCCCACCCACTGGAATTTCCAGCGAAAAAACACGAGATTTGGCCCCCACCCCCTGGAATTTCCAGCGAAAATAAGTGAATTTTGACCCCACCCCCTGGATTTCCAGCACAAAAAATGGAGGTCAACCCCTTGATTTCCAAGGTCCTCAACAGGGGGTGTACGGATATTAAATGCAATATGCCATTGTTCGTTTGCGGCATTTTGAAGCTGT